TTTTTTGACACCCAATCAAGCCCCGGCCAGCTCAGCCGTGTCTGTTTTTGGTCCTCCTCCCCTTCCATGCTTGCCTCGCACCAATGATTCGAATCACAAACCCAAAGGCTGGCACGCGTGGTGGTGCCATTTTGCCTTTTCTGCTCAATGGTTCATTCCGCCATTCTTGTGTGTTGTCCTGTTGGTCCATTTTGCCCACTCCACATCATGCCAACGCACAGGGAGCGGGAAGCTTGAAATTATCCGAACTCGGATGGGTGACATTGCCATTCTTGGCATGTGTGCCATGGATGTGACCGGCTCTTATCACTCGGGCCTTGGCCACGATCGTCGCTCTGTTGGGAAATAGATGGGTCAGTAATGGCAAATCTATCAGGGACTGGGCAAACAGTGAGTCGGACACTCCAAAAGAGGCACAGCCACCCCCTAACATGACAAATTCAACGACCGAGATACCGCCAATAAACACCTGACTCGCATCCCGTCTCCGATCGCGACGCTGGTGGCACCCAGTCCTCAATCGCCGCCCTACGTATGGCCTCTCCCCCTTTTCCAGCCTCGAGGGAGGGCGGGGGAGAAGCCACCAGGACTCATGCAACGGAAGCACCGAGGCCCTTCACCTCATGCTGCCCGGCTCAAAGTCGCTCGTCGGCCGCAGCCCCAGGCCCGACTTCTCGTAGGCCATGTCCAGCATGCGCGCCTGCGCGATGCTGTCGTCGTGCTCCACCCACATGCCCGTACCCGCCCGGCCGCGGATCCTGTCGACGAAGGCCCCGAGCTGGTGCCGGTACGACGTGAAGCTGGGAAGCCCGCCGGTGGCCACGCCGCGCCCCTGGAGCCCGGCCTCCTCCCACGTATACGCCTTATGACTCCTCTTCTCGACCCACCGCTTCACCACCGAGCCCTCCTCGTCCGCCACCGCCGCCGCCGCCGCCCCTCCCGTGCCCGTGCCCTCGGCCGCCGCCGTGCCCCGCCGCCGCACCACGAACTCGTCCTCGACGTCGATGCGGTGCCAGAAGAAGCCCATCATGAAGTTTCCCATGTAGAGCTTCCGGGTGCGCGTCTTCTCCTGGCCCTCGGGCAGGTTGGCGTCGGGCACCACGACGGACCGGTGCTCGACCCAGACGCCCGGCACGCCGGTCTGCAGCCACGAGCCCATCAGCGCCCCCTCGACCTCGGCCGTGCCGCCATTGGGGAACCGGAAGGTCGCCTTGAAGGCCTCGTCGCAGCGCTCGCGCGGGGGCGGGCACGGCCTGAGCTCCGCCGACGAGCACTCTTCCGGCACCATGCCGCCGAAAGCGAGCCGGACGGCCGAGCAGGGGTCTTTTTTTTTCATTACACTCGATAAGCACAAGACCAGCCAGGGGCGGGGACAGACTTGTTTACTCACACGTTCCCAGATCCATCAGCGAGCCGCCGGCGAGGGCGTAGTTGAACCTGATGTCGTCGGCGGAAAAGAACCCCCGCGGCACCGAGAACTTGGCCCTCGCGTGCGTCACGTTGGGCGGGTCCACCAGCGACATGAACTTGGCCCAGCACGGCTGGAACCGGTAGTGGAAGGCCTCGACGAGCACGGGCGGCTGCCGCTGCTGCGGAGAGCCGCCGCCCTGCTGCGGCCGGAGCAGCGCGTGGTTGAAGAGGCTCTCGGCCTCGGCGGCGTTGGACACGGACGGCTTCTCCAGCAGCACGTGCTTGCCCGCCGCCAGCGCCCGCAGGGTCCACTCGTAGTGCAGGCCGTTGGGCAGCGGGATGTAGACCGCGTCGATGGACGCGTCGTCGAGAAGGGCTACATCCGTCCGTCCGCCCGTCCATAATCTCCCATGTTAGTCAAAGTAAGCCGGTCAACGAAAGAAAGAAAAAAAGGGGGTGGCGTCGAGCATGCCTTGATAACCGTCCAGCACCTGCGGGATGCCATGCTTCTTCGCGTACGCCGCCGCCTTGGTCTTGTCCCTGGCGGCGACGGCCTGCACAACCACCTCCGGGTGGGTCCGCGCCGCGTGCATCAGCGCCATGGGCGCGATGTTGGCCGCGCCGAGGATGCCGAACCGGAGCGCGTCGGCATCCTTGGGCGCCGCCTTCGAGCCCACGAATATCTGCCACTGGCGGCTAACGAAGTCGGGGATGCCAAACATTGTTCGTGTTTGGGTTGGTTTTGGGTTGGGTTTGGTGGTTCCGCGGGGCTCTGATGGCGGCCTTTGGTGGCTACGATTGCCGTTGAAGGGCGATTGTTGCCAAAGAGAATGCTTGCGCAGTGTTGAATGGATGACCTGGGAGCCGATGCGGGGAATCGTGGTTGGGCGCAAGCGTCAGGGGAGCCCAAAACTTGCTTCTGTCACAGGTGGTGTTGTGGCGCAGCCATCCCCGTCGTCCGATCGTGCAACGCATCTTGGACCCCTAGGGCTGGGTGGTAGCCAAGGTGTAAATCGCTGGCTTCTCTTCGGTGATTATATACAACGCAACAACGTTTGGCTTGTAACCACACCAATCTATGTAAACATCAATGAATATGCCTGAACAAAGTTTTGGTAAACTGACGGTATCCCATCGTAGGATACGAGCCTGTTCGGATCCTCTCCCCCCAATCCATCAATCATGCTCCTCCCTCCACAATGGTATATTTATCCCAGAGTAATAGCAGCTCCAGTGACCCCCATTATTGCGTCGTCCAGCTTTCCTCTCCCTGTCCGTACCGTCGACGCGTTCGCCCCGGTGCCTCTTAATCTTCAAACTTGATTCCATTCCGGGCACTGGTGTCAATGCGGCCTCCTCGGTAGCTCCCCTTCTTCTTCTTGTTCTTCTCTTTGGTGAAGCCTTTGCCCTTGGTGATGATCAAGTCCTCGTGTGCCTTCTGACCCCACTCGTCGGCCGGGTTGAACGCGTTCGACCGCAGGCGGGGATCGACAGAAATGTCCTTGCGGATCCGCGAGAAGGGTACGTTGGGCGCCTTAGGTCCATCGCCACCCTTCTTTCCCCGGTTGTTGGTCTTCACCACTGGGTCCGGAGGCAGGGGCGCAAACTCGCTAACGGGGAAGACCTGAGGTGAGGTCTTGCCGACTGTGACGGAAGAATCAGACCCGCTCTTAGCAGCAGCCGCCTTTGCCTCTTTCTTGACCTGAGTGCTGGGTTCTGCCGAGTCGTCGTCGCTGGAATCCGAGGACGAGGACGAGTCCGAGGAGGAGTCAGAGTCGGATCCAGGAAGGGGGACCTTGGAGGCAGCGGCCTGGGCCTCGGAGCCAGAGTCAGAATCGGAGTCGGAATCGGAAGACGACGAGCTCGATGAAGATGAGGAGCCGCTGTCGCTATCGGCCTTCGCGTCGGCCTCGGCCTCGGCCTCAGATGAGGATGACGAGCTGGAGGACGAAGAAGAGGATGCCGACGACGATGACGGGGGCGAGGCAGCTTTGACGGTCTTTTGCTTCTTGATCTGGGGACGCTCCCCCTCGGAGCTAGAGTCTGAGCTGTCGGAGCTAGAAGCGGACGAACTGCTGCTCGACGGGGCTTTCCTTTTCAGGGGTCTCTTTGCTTGGGGCTTTTCTGCCTTCTTGGCCTTGCGTGCCTTTTTATCCTCCTCGCTGTCACTCGACTCCGAGTCGGCCTCTTCGGCCTCAATGTCCATCAGGTCCATCATGTTCACGTCGGCATTTGCGGCGCCCTCACTCTCGCTCCCGCTCTCGCTCTCACTCTCAGACGAGCTCGATTCGCTGCTGCTGCTGCTGCTACTGCTCGAGTTGCTGTCGTCGATAGCGGGAGAGTCGCCATTCTGCGCCGTCTTCCAAACTTGGAAAACGGCCACCAGCGAAGTTGCGATGGCAGGGCCGGGAGCGGTGGGTGGGAGACCCTTCTTGGCGCGGTGTTTCTTGAACTCCTCGTGGGATTTCTTGCTCGAGTATTCCTCCAGGAACACCTCGACGAGGTCGAGCAGCTGCGCCGGCGGGTGCGATTCCGCAGCGGGCGCCGGCTTCGGAGCCTTCTTGTCTTTCGTAGCGGCCATGGCCGTCTTGTTGGGTGGGCCGCTGGTAGTGTCGATCGCGACGGATGTGTTGTTGTCGCCGAAGAGCCAGGCCGGGGGTGCAGAACCTGTCATGGACCGCCTCGCATAAAATAGAGGCCAATTATAGTGAGAAGGCGAGTATATCGATGGACACGAGCGGGCGTTCGAAGACGAGTCTTGTTGGGAAATGGAAGCGCGATCAACCTCGGCGGCAAGCACGTATAACAACAGGAGCAGCAACAAGCGACTCTGACCGCCTAAAAAAAAATGGCAGAAAAAAAGAGGCGACCCTTGGCAAACCTGGAGCTAGCCCACGGTGCCACGCTAGCGCAAGCCAATTCAGAGAGTGGGGTCTTCTTAGGGTTAGGGTCCTGCATCCTCCCAGCAATGTCGTGAAACGGGCCGACGTCAATGGCCGACGACAAGCTTCCGCCCCTCCCGGCGTCTTCAACACCGAGCTGCCCGACACGGTGGGGTTGATGGGGTTGGGGGAGAGCTTGGCTTTGACTGAACGGGATGGATACCGTTTATGTAACGATGACAGACTGCACCGCATGAAAGCCGAGCGCTTCAATTGACGGGTTATGTAGGCGGGGTACGTCAGCGACAAGCACACATCAGTCTCCCACTGTTCTTGCAAGCAAATGTTCGGGGCTCGCGCAATCCCAAGACTACGCCTTTACGCTTCACATATAACTAACAGCCGTCGTAAGTTACCGATCGATCATGTCGGGGTTGTGAGATAAGATGCCGCCATCATCGCATAGAGCTAACACAGCCCTGCCCTCGCACAAGCGCTAACGCCCACGAGGAGATTCGCAACAATGGCGTCGACAACGGACCTCAAGACGTACAAATTCAACCACACCATGCTGAGGGTCAAGGACCCTGTGCAGTCGGTTAAGTTCTATGAGTTCCTGGGCATGTCGGTCATCAACAAGGCCGATGATCCCGACAACAAGTTCAGCCTTTACTTCTTGGCCTTCGACTCGCCCTCGGCCAAGTCGCACGGCAAAAGCACCTTTGACCGCGAGGGAATCATCGAGCTGACGCACAACTGGGGGTCTGTACCGCCATTCGATTATGCTTATCGAGAATTCGAAGCAATAGCTCTTGAGCGCTGACATCTGGGCTCCTATATCCTTCAGGACCGAGAACGATGCCTCGTACAGCATCAACAATGGCAACAAAGAGCCACATCGGGGCTTTGGGCATACCTGCATCTCGGTTGATCACTTGCAGGCCGCCTGCGACCGCATCGAGGCTGCGGGCTACAAGTTCCAGAAGAAGATCTCCGACGGCAGGATGCGAAACATCGCCTTCGCCCTTGACCCTGATGGATACGTCAGTTTGACCTCTTTGCATCAGCGCCAGCTTTTGTTTCTTAAGAGCCGCTAACCATGGATGCCGTAGTGGGTGGAGCTCGTCAGCAAGAACCGGGTTGAGGAGGACACGTCGACAACAACCGACGTGTCGACCTACCGAATGAACCACACCATGATCAGGGTCAAGGACGCCGAGAGGTCGATCAAGTTCTACCAGGACGTCATGGGCATGAAAGTCCTTCGCGAGCTGCCAAATCCGGAGGCCGGATTCACGCTTTACTTCCTCGGCTACCCCGAGCGGGGAGAGTGGGACTACGACCGCGAAGGCCTCCTCGAGCTGACATGCAACCACGGAACCGTAGGTGCACCCGTCCAACTTCCTGCTTGATGTATGCTAACGGTAAACCTGATGTAGGAGAAGGATGATAGCTTCAAGGGCTACCATAACGGCAACGACGAGCCGCAAGGATTTGGCCACATCTGTATGTGCAAATCGTCCCAAGAATCGCAAATGTGTGGGTTGGTGACTAACAAGGTGCTTTAGGCGTATCTGTCGATAACCTCGATGCTGCGTGCAAGCGCTTCGAGGACTGCTCGGTCAACTGGAAGAAGAGACTGACTGACGGACGGATGAAGAATGTGGCCTTTGTCCTGGACCCTGACGGGTGAGTTCTGCTATCTGTGATGTGGCTGTGGGCGAGCTTTACTGACAGCAAGTCCACCTTGGGCAATCAAGATACTGGGTTGAGATTGTGTCAAACGACATGAAGCTCTCGAGCTGATGTGATGCGAAACGGGTGATTTTGAGAAGCGAGTGTTGTGGATTTGGAGTGAGGGGATCATTCAACGCCTCAGCCTGAGTTATTCACTGCCGCTTGAGATGATTTATTCTCAATCTTGTCAAAGTAAAAAGGTGCAACTAGGACTGCATGGGTAAATGTAAATCACAGCTGAAAGAAAGCCCAAGGCTCGATGTGAATTTGGCGTTTGCTCAATGAAGGGATCCTCACTGTGGTCCGCCAGGGCCCAGGGGCCACTCGCTACTTCAGGGGCTGAGCCCCTCAGACAAATGCTGTCGCAGCCTGTGCCAAAGCTCCAGCCGCGGCGCAGCGCGACTCACTCATTACGCGGCCGTCGCGTCAATCACGACGGCCGGATAATTGCAAGAGGCCACATGTCGGAGCGGTGCTCGATGCTTTTGCTTTCTTGACAGTATTTTGCTCGCCCGTCTTTGGGATTCCGCCATAACCGCACCGGTTGCGTTGTAATTCCACGCAAGGAGCCAAACACGGTGTTATATAGTTTCGTTTCGTTTTACAGCATGGACATCTACCAGCTGAACCTCGCAGGGCTGATCGGCCTCTGCGGCGTGCTTTTCCTGGCCCAGAGAAAATCGACCACTCCGGCGACAAAGGACAGCAAGACGAAGAAGGATGCCAAAGCGGAGGGCGCGGAAGGAGACGGGCCATCCCAGTGGGCGTTCCTGGTGGTGTTTTCGCTGGTGATGGGCTCCGACTGGCTTCAGGTACTTGGCACTTTTTGCGACGCGGGCACTTCTCCACTCAAAGACACGACGGGCTAACATAAACACAAAGGGGCCCTTCCTCTACTCGCTCTACCGCGACGAGCACGGCGTGTCGGCCGGGCTCGTGTCGACGCTGTACACGACTGGCTTCCTGTCGGGCGCCGCGGGCGGCTACGTGGCGGGGACGCTGGCGGACCGGCACGGGCGCAGGCGGGCGTGCCTGCTCTTCTGCGGCGTCTACGCGGCCTCGTGCCTGCTGACGGCGTCCCCCTCGGCGCTCGCCTCCCCGCCCGTGCTGTTCGCGGGCCGCGTGCTGGGCGGCATCGGCACGAGCCTGCTCTTCAGTGTCTTCGAGTCATGGATGGTGACCGACTTTGCCGAGCGCGGGCTCGCGGCCAAGGGCGGGGACCTCTCGCGCACGTTTGGGCTCATGAGCACGCTCAACAGCGTCGTCGCTATTGTTAGCGGCGTGTTTAGCGAGTGGCTCGTCGCGGCGACGGGGACACGCAGGTCGCCCTTCTACGCGGCCGTGGTGCTGTTGGGCGTCGCGGCGTGGGTTATTGTGACGCGCTTTGTGAGTGCGAGGGAGAAAGAAATCCCATGGGAGAAACCGAGGAGAAAGAAAAAAAGGAGATGACGCTGACAGCAAAAACCTGCAGGACGAAAACTACGGCCAGTCGGCCAACAAGGCCAAGACCGAGGCGGCCGACAAGAACAAGCCCCAGACCATCGTCGACAACACGACCAAGCTCTCGTGGATCCTGTCGGACCCAAAGGTGCTCGCGTTGGGGCTGGCCTCGACCATGTTCGAGGGCTCCATGTACCTCTTTGTCTTTTTCTGGTCGCCCGCCCTCAACGCCGCCCGCGACGCGGACCCCGCCGGCACCGGCACCAGCGGCAGCGGTTCCGGCCTGCCCTACGGCGTCATCTTCGCCGCATTCATGGCCACGACGCTGGCGGCCTCGCTGGCCTTCAACATGGTCATGGAGCGCGGGCTGGTGCGGTACTCGGTCCTGATGATCGGGATCCTGGCCGCGGCCGACTTGTGTTTTGCCTCCCTGTCTGGCGGCGGCGGCATGGCCTCCTCCAGGTCCGAGCAGACCACATTCTGGCTCTTTTGCGCCTTCGAGGCCTGCGTCGGCGTCTACTGGCCCTGCATGGGCTACCTCAAGGGCCGGCTGATAGAGGACGGCGCGCGCGCGCGCGTCTACTCGGTCCTGCGCGTGCCTCTCAACCTCTTCGTCGTGGCCTCGCTCCACCTCACCCGCGACGGCGGGCCCGGCGCCCACGCCGCCGTCTTTGGCGTCTGCGCCAAGCTGCTGCTGGCCTCGTGCGCGGGGCTGTGGGCTATGGTGATGAACGAGAACGACCTGCCTTGAGAGTATTGTGTGCTGCCGGTGGGAGGGAGTGGGGGTGAGGGGAGGACCTTGTTAGCCCTACTGCTGGCTGTTCTGCGTATACGAGCTTTTTCTTTTGGAATTTCGTCATGGAGTGGGCATCTACTTGGCTTGATCGGGATGGTCTTCTCTCAAGCCATATTCTGCCGCCATGTTTGCTGGATACACACACCCCAGTGATACCTTTGTGCGTTTGTGCGTGCTTTCCTGAATTCGACACCCACGCCCTATTTCGTCAACGTGTGAATTCAGCCCGTCATTTCTCGTGTCCTACGTAGTCCGGACATTTTTTCCCCTTGCCGTCTTCTAGCTCTCCGCCGCCACCGCATCCAAGTTTCTTGTGCTCTCCTTCCTCCGCTCGTCTCACCCCATCCAGACATGCAACCCAACTACGACGGCGCTCATTTAGGTATGCGGAGCCACAAAGCACGACTCAGCGCCCCCCGAAGGCGGGAATGCGCAAGGCCCGAAAGGGG